CATTAAGCATCGTCTATGTAGATAAAAAAATAAACCGATGCTTACCTAGGAAGAATGCATGAACACGAATTAGGAAAAGTTGTTTGCTCGAGTAAAACAAAAATGTGACAGTCGCTTTCTTCGAAATACTATCTTTTGGTTAATAAGTGTTATCTTGATATATATGAAAACAAGGATGCCAGTACAGTAATTCTTCGTAAGTTATTCCCAGTAGGAAAAGAAAGACACCTTTTATCTTTGTAACAGATGAAATGACGTAGGCAGGATATGAAACATGGCTCAGGAGATGACTTCAATATCATGACAATGATATTATCTTAACGCAATTACACAAATCCTTTCTTCACGAAATTGGAACATCCTTCAAATGCGATGTTCGGGTGTTCAAATATGACGCGAGTGTTTCAACACGTGAATAAATACGAGTACGTACATGACTACAACACTTGCTTCATTGGCGACATATAATTAATGATGATATCGGAAATTAGAAATAATAAGCCCAACCATAGCTCCTTAAGAAATAAATCACACAGAGAAATTCATAAGTCCGAGAACACAAAACAAGTGATTTACACCATATTACAAAACAATCTACAAGGATAAAACAAAACAACCGACATACAACAGAGTCAAATTAGTAAGACAAAGTTATATTAACTCCATGGTATACATTGAGTGATGTCAGGTGGTTCGAACGGATTGTGGACACCCTGCTTCACATGTGTCAACAGTCATATATCATTCCGAATCATAATTAAGCTCTCAGTATAAAACCCGATGTTTGTATTGGTGAGCAAGTTACAAAATAGAATAAGTGTTTTATCGGCAATTTCAGTACTGTCAAGCCGATGCGTCAAATCATATATAGATGATTGAATACATCCATCAGCTGTATCCATTTGTATCATTCACCATCACATGGATAGACATTCCGGAATGAAATTGGCAACCAAACAAGTTTACACAGAGTATCATAATAAACATAAGGGTGGCCACAAGAGGGCAATTAGCCCAGTCAAGCCTACCTGAGTGTATCTTTATATGTATACATACATACATACATACATACATACATACGATTGATTGGTCTGACATCAATATGAAACAGTAGTTAGATGAAAAAAATAGAGCTGCACTTTTGCGTGTTGGTTTCAAGAACTGTGCAGTATGTTTGCCTGGGCCATCCCCAGTGTACATGGCTAGAGAAATGCATTGTGTGTTACTAGCGTAAACTTCACATTTGTGGTGACTGTATTATATCGAGACGTAACTGTACCATGTCACGTCTGATATAAATGGGTGATTGATTGCATGATATCCCGATGTTATAATTTATGTCAAATAATCACTCATTGGCTGTAACATGTCACATGAATGTCAATATTGGTGATTGCATGATATCGTGATAATTTAAGTCAAGTCATCACTCATTGATTGCACCAGGTCTCGTCAATGTCAATATTGGTGATTGCATGATATCGTGATAATTTAAGTCAAGTCATCACTCATTGATTGTACCAGGTCTCGTCAATGTCAATATTGGTGATTGCCTGATATCGTGATAATTTAAGTCAAGTCATCACTCATTGATTGTACCAGGTCTCGTCAATGTTACTATTGGTGATTGCATGATATCGTGATAATGTATGTCAAATAATCACCCATTGATTGTACCAGATCTCGTCAATGTCAATATTGGTGATTGCATGATATCATGATAATGTATGTCAAATAATCACCCATTGATTGTACCAGGTCTCGTCAATGTCAATATTGGTGATTGCATGATATCGTGATAATTTAAGTCAAGTCATCACTCATTGATTGTACCAGGTCTCGTCAATG